CAGCGGCCGCTGCCCCTGCGTGTCCCGCGGGCGCCGGCAGAGAAACCCCAAAACGGTGGGCTGCGGGGGGAGGGGCGGCCCCCGGGGCCCCGGCGTCCGGCCTCTGCGGCACAAGCGACAGCAGGGGTTCTGTTCCTGCTCCCCGAAACCCACCTCAGGGTCCCTTCAGATACGGGCGCCCAAATTCGAGGAAGGAAGGCGAGGAGAGGTAGCAAGCGGGTGGGGGGCCTGTCCGATCGGAACCCCGCACTGCTTGGGGCGCCCCAGACCTGAGGCCCCACCAGTGGGCAGAGGCAAGTGGCGAACAGCGGAAGGTGGACACAGCCTCCCCTGGGCAGCTCTGGGAGGCCAGAAAGGGGCCCGGGGCTGCCCCACCTCATCAGCCACGCGAACCCATGCGGAGCGGGAGCCACGGACAGGCCCCGCCACGACGGGCGCCCACACGCACCAGTGCCACGTGGCAGTTATGCCCCAACGAGCTGGGGTGCAGTAGTGTCCCCACGTTTTCACAAGTCGCCTGGGCACGGGGAAGGCCGTTTCCGTTGGTCTCCGCGGCGCCCTGGCACCCCCAAGGGGCGCGGGACAAACACCCCCAAGGGGCGCGGGCCGGAACCTGCAGAGCGAGCTTGCGGGGCGCCGGGCCTTTCCAGGGTCCCTAAGCAGGCAGTCGTCTAAAAAGTCAGGGGGATCGCCCCAAGCCCCCCAAGAACGCCCCTGCGCTCAGCAGAGCGCTCACACGGCCCCCGGAGGCGTCAAGATGGGGCTGGGGTGAGTTGGGGGGCTGCCTGGGCGGCGCCGGGTTTGTGTCAGTACTGAAATCCGGAGCCCGAAAGGTTAAGACCGGCGCGGCCCCGGCCCGAGGGCCCCTGGGGTTCCCAGTGCGAGGCCCCAGGCGTCCGGCGGGCCCCGCTCGGTGCCACCCCAGGGCCCGAGGGGCTCGCGGCGCTGGGGTGCCCGCACCTGGGGACCTGAACCCCGTCAGCTGACAGCAGCACGGGCGGGACGAGCGAGCAGGGCGGCCGCGGGGAGCCCTGCCACTGCCCTCCTGGGTAGGAAATGTGGGGTCCCCAAAGCCGCTGACAGGTCAGGCGCCGCCTTCGCGCGGACACTGGTTCTTTACTATCGGAGTGGACAGCAGCTGGCCGCGCCTCGCCCTCTCGGCCGGCCTGGCGTCCGCCGCAGACTCCGCGCAGTCCGCGTGCTCCCCCGCAGCCCCCCGCGCCCCATCTGTGGTCGGGGCTCACAGCTGCTGTCCTCACGCCCCCGCGGCCCGGCCCAGGGTGCCAGGGCCCTCCGCAGGCTCAGGGGGCTCAGGGGGGCTCAGGGGGGCTCAGGGGGCTGCAGCCACACAGCCCCTGGTGGCGCCCCGGTCCGGGCCCCAGCTGGCCTGGAGGGTGCCGGGACCCCGCCATGGCACCTGCTTCTCAGGCCGTGACGCCCCAAGTGTGACGTCCCCACAGGAGCCACGAGCAGGGAACCCCGCAGAGCAGAGCCAGACTGGTGAGGGGGAGACCCGCCCCGAGGTGAACTCTAGGGGTGCCCCTGGGGGCGGAGCTGGCCGCGGGCGCCCC